TGTGTGTGTGTGTGTGTGTGTGAATTGGTTCTCATAGAATTACTTATTTAATTCTGCTTTTGCCAGCCTCATTAAAATTCTTTTCTGCTGTTTCATAGTGGTTTGGAAGTGGCAATGATATTGGAGCATAAATTCTGGCAAGTCTTACCAAGATGGAAAGGTTTTAAGTTTGAGCCCCTAAACAGATTATGTTCTTCTCATCTAGGAGCCAGCTTAGCTAAATGTAGAGACCCATCCTCACATTATAGTAGGGTGATAAATTTATTGGCCATAACATTTCTGGAAATCCATCTACCAAGTCACAGAGAGGTTGTGATTTATGGAGGTGGAGTGTGCTCAAACACCAACAAAATCATTGATTCTTGAAATATTTGATTTCCCTGATTTGGTTTTGAGGGACCCTTCTCCCTAACTAGTCATAAGGTCATTTTGCCTATATGAAAAGATAATGGCTCCTCCAAACTTTTCTTCCAGCTGTCTCAGGAAAAGTTGGATGGAAGAAAGGGCTTGAATGGGAAGAGAAAAGGGAGGAGGAGAAGGGATTCAGGTAGAGGAGGAGAGAGGAGAGAAAGAATTTGGTAAGAAAAAGTAAAAAGTTAGTGAAAAAAGGAAAAGTTGGGTTGTTGAAGTGTTAATGGGGGAGATACTGAATAGTATTGAGAAGGGTCTCACAAAACCTTTTGCTTCAGCACTTTTTTCAGGGAGTTAGCAAGAAATTTGGACTAAGTATGGAGAGCAGGAATTTGTGCATAGTGTATGATGCATGTGCTTCTGCCAGGACCAAGTGACTATTATCTGTTTTCAAGGTACAGGCTGTTCTCCCTTCTATAAGTGAAGGCAAAGGGCTTGAGGAATGCTGATTCATTCCATGTGTTATGAGGGAATATGAAATATTCTTTAAAAAATAAGAGGAGGACTTCAGTGTGAAAACAAAAAAGTGAATGTAGCTCAAGAGGCAGAGGGGAATCTCAATCTCTTTCAGGAAGAAGAATGGTGGAAGCAAGTCCCACAGAGGAGAAAAGGAAGAAGGACCTTACAGCACTTGATGTTAAGAAACATATAAGGCTCTTTCAGAAGAGAAGAGAGCTATACGTTATGAAGTAAAAGCTGTTAGTTTTACAAGGAATGATGCTATGCATACACAGGTGCTATTGGATGAGAATCATCCAGTAAGGGCCTTGCAAAGAAAAAAAAATAGTAGGCACCTGATAACTTTTTGCTGAGGGAGGCTGAGGCAGCTACAAACTGAGACCTGATACAAACAGTAGAGAGGAATGGTGTAGGCATGTAATCAAGATAAATCAATGAATAAATATTTATTAAGCAACTACTAAGTGCCAGCTACTGAACTAGATGCTGGGGATACAAAAATGAAAGTGAAACAGTTGTGTTCTAGGAGTTTACTTTCAACATGTACACACATATATGCATGAATGTAAATACATATATGTATATATATACACCCACATATATGTATATTACAAGTAAGTTAAATTAAAGGTAGGTAGGTAGGACATTGGCAGCTGAGGGCGGGGCAGAGATCAGGAAAGGCTTATTGTAGAAGGTAGTCCTTGAGTTGAAGGTAGGCAGTGAGGGCTTCTCTGAGTTGGAGGTAAGGAGGGAATGCTTTTCACGTCTGGAGGCAGCCAGTGCAAAGGCACACAAGTAGAAAATTAAGGGTTTTGTGTGGGAAACAGCAAGGCCAGTCTGACTGAACCATAGATGCAGAAAGGAGAAAGGATGAATCTAGAAAGATAGGTTGAGGCCAAGTTAGAAAGATTTTAGAAGTCAAACAGGAGTTCAGATTTTATCCTGGAGGCAATAGGGAACCACCGGAGTTTGTTGTGGGGAGTTTGGTACTGTCAGTACTATGAAAGTGATCCTTAATCATAGTTCTGACAATGCCAAACTTTCACAGCAGTGTGAACAATGGGCAGGAGCAGATTTGAGGAAGAGAGACCAATTATTAGGCTATAATGATAATCTGAAGGCCTGAACTAAGGTGCTAAGTGCTTGAATGAAGAGAAGGTGATGGTTAGGGCAGCTAGGTGGCACAGTGGATAGAGCACCAGTCCTGGAGTCAGGAGGACCTGAGTTCAATTTTGGCCTCAGACACATAATACTCACTAGCTGTATGACACTGGGCAAGTCACTTAACCCCAATTGCCCTCACCAAAAAAAAAAAAAAAAGGAGAGAGAGAGAGAGAGAAAAGGATAAATTATGAAGAGAGAAATAAGCTTTGACAACTGATCTTGAGGGGTGAGAGTGAAAGTAAAGTTGAAGATGCCGTAGGGCTGTGACTAGAAGAAGGACACTTTTAATGTAAACAGGCAAGTATGATATAAGGTATGGTTTGAGGGAAGATAATTTGTTTCATTTGAACTTGTTAAGTCTGACATGCCTAGTTTGAAATATGTAGTTGCCAGGAGTACATTTAATAAAGGTAAACTGAGGTACATACTCTGAGCAAAATCAGTTTGTTAACAGTGACATGGATAACTGTTAACAAAACAGTCAGACTGGTTACCTTAGTGAGCCCAGTAACACCAATGAAAAGAGGGGGTACCCTCTTTATTGACTCATAGGAAGGGAAGGGGTGTCTGGGTAGTTGGGTAATATTACAATTAACTATACTAAGAAAAGTGGATTGGCATTCAGATATGGCTAATCATGCCCCTCTCTGACAGTAGAGAAATGTTAATTTTTTTTAATGTGACTTACTTGACTTTTGCAATGTTTGTTACAGCTTTGCTGTCTCCTAAGAGGAGATCAAATCTCCCCTAGGTTGCACAAGGATAGACAAGGACAGATGACATGTGTTTTTGGAGGTGGCATCAGGTTAAGCCAGTTGGGGCTTACAGACAACAAGCAGATGTCCTAGAGGATAGTGACATGAATGGTAAAAACTTTTCCTTTCAACCACACCTTTAATTAGCTCAGAGGGAAGACTACATTCCTAAGTTTAACTCAAAAACAGAGAAATGGGGCTTGACAAAATGGGACAGTAATTCAGAATAGGGTCAGTTACAGAAAAGAATCAATTATTAAATGATACAGAATAATTTCAATTTCCTCATAATAGAGGATGCAGGACTGAAGCTCAGGGGACAGATTGTGGCTTATGAGTTGTGCACATTGAGATGATAATTAAATCCATGGAAGTTGATGAGGAAACTGACAGAGAGAAAAGTTAAGTGGGATCAGGACAAAGATGTGGAAAATACCCAGAGTTGGGGGGCAAGTTAAAGTAATGATAAACCAGAAAAAGATTCTGGGAAGAAGCAGTCAGACATGTAGTAAAACAGAACGGAGTATTGTCACACACACACACACACACACACACACACACACACACACATATACATATACACAGTTCTAGAGAGGAAAGACTATATATAAGAAAGGGTGGTCAACAACATCACATGTAGCACAGAGGTCAATAGTATTGATTACTGAGAAAAGCCCATGAGATTTGGCAATTAAGGAATTCTTTGGAATTTCTGAGAAAGAAATTTCAGTTGAGATGTGATAAGGGACCCCCCAAGACTTGTCAAAACAATTGATTGCTACCTATTTATGATAACTCCTGTGTGCATAAAATAGTGCCAGAGGAAAGATGAAAAAGGAATTATTAAGTCCTAGGTGAGAAAATGAAGACACTAGGGGCACAATTTTTTTTTCATCACTGCTGCCTCTTGAAGGAGGGAGTTTCAGAAAAAGAGGCAAATTTGAGCAGTGAACCGCTTCTTCACAGAGCAGGTGTCTAACAATGGAATTAGACTTCTGGACTTCTAGATTCGTAGCTTAAGATCTAGGAATAACTGGGTTTTGATCAGCAGTGGAGTGCACCTAACAAGAACTAGTAAAAATGAAACTTTCCTGGAGTGTTACAAATCAATTCAGAAGTATTTTTTAACTACAAAGGACAAAGGAAGAAGGAAGACATTGCATATGTGTATTCACTAAGGTATGTATCACAGAGGTGAGCTCAAATATAAGAAGGATAGTCATAAAGGTACTTATTTTGTTAATGAGAAATGCAATTCAAGAAAGAAGGCAGTAATGAAACTCAATGGCCTCAATGTCCCTACACAAATTCTCAAAGTACGAGTAAGAAACAAATTGAACTACAAATCATCATACAAGAGGACAAATATGAATAAGTCAGGATGAGATGAACCTAATTACTGGAATAAACCTCTGGGAGAGTGTAGCTTTTTCAAAACAGATGAAATGGGTAGAATGGAGGGTATAGCTGTACTGCCTGTCAAAGCATGTACACGTGAGGAGATCCAAACACAAAAGAAAAGAAGCGTGGTAGAGAGCATTTTGATGAAGACTGAAGGATGTAAAAACAAACAAGATATTTTTTATCTAAATGTACTGCAGACTACCTGAACAGAAAAAAAGACATGTATGAGGAATTCGGGAAATGTTTCACAAGCCTAACACATAGGCGTAGTTTAGTAAAAATCATCCAGGCATCTTTTGGATTTTTCTCTCACATTCCTCCCCTCCTTTTCCTCCCTTCCTCTGTCCTTCCTCTCTCCTTTCCCCCCTCTCTCTATCTTTTCCTCTTTCCCTTTTGTTCTCCCTGTCTCTCGTTCTCCATAAAGCAAGTAACTAATACTTTTTTGACTTGCTTTCAGTGATAATTTCATTCCTTAAAAGACATGGGAATTGACCCTCCACAACTGCCTCCTCCTCCTCCTCTTCATCTTCATCCTCCTCCTCTTCCTCACCATCACCACCATCATCTTCCTCCTCCTCCTCCCCCTGCTGCTGCAGCTTCTCCCCCTGTTCCCCTGGAGAGGACCATCCGGGTGCCTCTTTTGTGAAGCGGCGGCTGAGGAGACTCCCAGACTCGCCAAGGAAGACTAAAAGCTGAAGGAAGACATCAACACAAAGAATAGCAACCGCATTAATTTGAAGGTGGCAGGGCAAGATGGTTTGGTGGTGCAATTTAAGATTAAGAGGCGCACACCACTTAGTAAACTAATGAAAGCCTCTTGTGAACGACAGGGTTTGTCAATGAGGCAGATCAGATTCCGATTTGATGGGCAACCAATCAATGAAACAGACACACCTGCAGGGTTGGAAATGGAGGATGAACATGCAATTGATGTATTCCAGCAGCAGACAGGAGGCCCTTACTAAAAAGAGAACATGCAACTCTACTCCAGAACCGTGCTCCCAAGGAAAACAATACATTCACAATTAGAAAACCAAGATTTGGTTCATCCACATCCTGACTACTGCAGTATAGTTTTCTCTCTTCTTTGATTCCCTTCCCCATTCCTTTATTGTACATAAAGTAACTGGTATATGTGCACAGGCATAATACGTATTTTTTTTTTTAACTAACTGGCCGATGGTATGTTATGATCAACATCAAATGGAGATGGGGAGGGGAAAAAACAAACTGGTTCTGTGAAAATATCCCTTTTCTCCATTAGTGGCATGCTCATTCAACTTTTATCTTTATATTCCAGTAAGTTATTTTGCTCTCACTGTTTAGCAACGACAACAACAACAACAACAACAAAAACCACATTAAAAAACCCTTGCACACCTTGTTTGATTGGATAATTTCAATGTTTTTCTTTTCTCATTGTAAAACCAAGGACAATTTTATAACTTTTTTGTATGTAGCTGTTACATGTAGGGCAATCTCTGTCTCTCAGTAGGGATAAATAACTATAAAAAAATTGATCCTAGAGAGTTTTTCCTTTAAGTCAAACATCTTGTTGTTTAAATAAACTTCTTGTTTTAAAAAAAAGACATGGGAATAAAAAATGAGAAATTCTAGTATGGCTATTATCTGAATCAAAGAGGAAAAAGGGGAGTTGTCTAAAGATTTATAAGCACAGAGAATTCATCAATCAACCAGTGTTTTACAAAAGAAATGTAAGGAAGATGAAAGCAAAGACAAGTAATAGTGAATACAAAATTGGAGCATGATCCTATAAGGTTAGGGTCAAGTACTAAGGAACAGAGCAAGCTATGGGTAGTAAGGAGAACTTAAGACAAAAAAGGTATATTTTAGTTGTATTCAGGAAAATAGAAGGATCAGAGAAGGGATAGGTACATTGCTTGGGATAGATGAGAGTGAAAATAACTGAAAGATGGAGGTCTCAATTCTTATTTTTATTTTTTTTTTCTGGCCAGCAGGATTTTTTTTTTTTGCTTGGATGGTCAAAACAGAAATAACTAATAATAAGTTGATACTCCAGATAAATAATGAAGTGATAGGGAGATTCTCTGATAGACTATAAAAAAGGGAAAATTTTTTATTTTATTTTAATTTTATTATATTTTATCTCTCCAAAAGAAAGAAGAATGGAATCTTTGGCAAAATTCTAGACTGTCGACTGATTAAAGGGACCTAGGATATCATTGATTATGTCATATATTCTGAATAAAAAGTTATTAAAGGGGTCATTAGTGGACATATGTTAAATGAAGCAGTGACCTTGAATCCCCAGTGACTTCATCAAGAACAATGCATGTCAGAGGTATCTTATTATGAGTTGTAAAACTGATAGGTCATGGGTTTGATGTAGATACAATTGCTCTATATTTTGACAAATAATTTGAGAAAGCCTTTTGTGAAACTTATGCAGAAAATACAGAAAGATATGGGTTAGATGACAGTCTAATTGGTTGAATTCAGATCTGGTTAAATGTCTAAGACCAAAGTATAGCCAGTATAAGCCCAGGGCCACCTTGAAGGTAGGTCTTCAGTGGAGTGTCACAGTGATCTGTACTTGACTCTGTGATGTATAACATTTTTTAATCAATGATTTAGATAATGGCATAGAGGGCGTATTTATCAGATTTCTAGGTGACACAAAACTGAGAGGGATAGATAACATATTGGATGACACTATCAGAATCTGAAAAGTTTTTAATAGACTAGAATATTGTACTGTGTAAAAAAAGTGAAATTTATGAAGTATAAATGCAAAGTTTCCTATTTATTTAAAAAAATCAACTTCACAAATATAAGATTGGGGAAGTTGTCTATGAATAAACAGCAGTTTTTCTGTAAAAAAGGGAGATTTTAATGTAACCGTAAGCTCAATAAGAGCCAACAGTTTGATGTGGCAGCCAAGAAACTGATGGAATCTTAGGCTGTTTTAAGAGAGACTTACTGTATGGGACTAAGGAAGGTGAGAGTTGCCTTCTTAGATCACACCTAGAGTATTGTGCTAATTTTTGAACCCCTTATTTTAAGAAAGACATTGATAAGGTGGAGAGTTTCCAGAAGGGAGAACCAGGATGGTAGAAACTCTCAAGTTTATGCCATGTCATGTGTGGTTGAAGGAAATGGTATTATTTATCTTGGAGGAAAGACAGTTTGAGGCCTGAAACATGATAGCTACATCCAAATATTTTTAGAGGAGTTAGACTTCTACTTTGTGTCTTAAGTCATATGAGTGAGGTAAGGGTAGAAGTTGCAAAGAGACAAATTGTTTTGATGTAATAATAATAATAATAATAATATCACATTTATATAATACCTACTATATGCCAGGCACCATGCTCAGTGCTTTACAGATATTAATCATTTTATCCTCACAACAACCTTGTGAGGGGGTTGCTACTGTCATCCTATATTTTACAGATGAAACTAAGAAATATTTCCTAACAATTAGAGATATCTGAAAGTAGAAGGATGGGTCCCCCTCATTTGAGGTATTCTAGCAAAGGCAAAATATCTGGCTGCTGGGAATGATACTGTGAATGCTATATTTCAGGTAATAGTTGTAATAGCCACTGCTTCCCTCTCATTATGATTTTTTTAATTCTGTGAAGTAGAGTTGAGACAAAGCACTAAATATCTGTATCAGATATCACAGTGTTTTATATTTAGGGACCCAAGGACCCTTATTTCAAAGTCAATTCTCCTTTCATCAAAGTGACTTTTTCTTCTTAAGGTAATAGAGCACCTAGCAAACAGTGTCTACATAATCTCTATTTTCCCATCAGTGATGATTTTATTGTTGCAATCTTACTTAATGTTGCTTCAACTTTTATCTTTGTGACTGTGCTTCTATAAGTGGGAAAATTAATCCATATTTTGTAATAACATGGTGTCAAAATTGTAAAAGCAAAGGATAAATTTTACAAATGGTATGAGAGCAAGAAAAAAAAGAATAAAAAAGCACTTATGTGCAAAGCATTGTGTTAAATGATGAAGATACAAATAAAAATGAGTTGGTCTCAAGAAGCTCACATTTTAAGATTTCTTCTCAAGTAAGAATGTTCAGAAAGAATCTATTTATCTCTTTGTGTCTGGTAGTAAAGTCAGGGCTCACTGACCATGCTCTAAACTATAGCTCAATAGATGTGCAATCCATTCATTGTACATCTTACGATTGCTTTGGCATCTCCCCCTCTTCCTATGTGTGAAAAAGTGCTTTTGTTCTATCTTCTAGGTTGTTTTTTTTTTTTTAAGACTCTACAATGCGATAATGACTCTTTATAGGACAATGCTTGTTATAACTCCTTGGGAAGATGTACTACCATTTATAATTACACTTTACAGTTTTATATATGGATCCGGTTTTTGAGCCATTTTAATCATATTTCTGTCAAAACCAACTTGATTTAATATCTTCCTGTAGGCTATTATGTGTCAAGTATCTTAGGCAAAGTCAGATATATTCTGTTCCTCTGAATTCCCTTCACTGGTAAAATTTGTTATCATGTAGGAAAAAAAAATGTGATCAAGTTCGTTTGGCAGGATAACTTTGTTAGCTCCTGTAGTGTCCTCTGAATAGTGGTATATTATTTCTCTATTTTCTATTTTCTATTTTAAGGGATAAACTAACATGCTGTCATTGTTTATGGTATCATTGTTGTACTTACGTGTTCTCTCTCTGTGCTCCAAATTCAGATATCTGTTGTCATATTATGCTTGATTCTATAATCAGCATATGTACTCAGCATTCAAATCATAGATATCTTGGCTTCACAACATAGCTCCTAAAATTCTAGAACGAGGATGGGGAACCTGAGGCCTCAAGGTCACATGTGGCCCTCTAGGTCCTCAAGTGTGGCCCTTTGACTGAATCCAAACTTCACAGAACAAATTGGATTTGTTAAAGGGCTGTGCTTGAAGACCTAGAGGGCCATTTGTGGACTGTGAAGGCCTCAGGTTTCCCACCTCTGTTTTAGAAGTTCCTCTTACACGTTTGTAATATTGATGGCAATTGTTGTTGAGAAGGTCAGAAAGACATGAAACTGAGGGCATCACTTTAAATAATATTTGTAGAATCAATCAAGTAAGCCACAAACATTAAGCATTTGCTATCCCTCCAAACATGCTGTTAGGTGTGAGGGATACTCGGACAAAGTAGAAACTGAGCTTGCCCTCAAGGAGCTTAAATGCATGTGAGGAGACAATATGTATACACATAGGTATACACAAAATAGATATGAGGTACCTTGGTCAGGGTTGGGTGCCATCCGTTGGGACACAAGGAGAGGGCTCATGTAGAAAGATGGACATGTGGATTGAATCTTTTTTTTATTAATTTATTTTGATCTATCAACAATCACTTCCATATGCTTTTAAGTTTAACATTTTTCTCCCCCTTTCTCCCCGCCACCCTCCCCAAGACAGTGTACAATCTGATGTAGGCTATATGTACACATTCCTATTAAACATATTTTCACATTAGTGATGTTGTAAGTAATTAGAACAAATAGGAGGAACCACCAGAAAGAGGAAACAAAATTCAACAGAAGAAAAAAAATAGCAAATAGTATGCTTTGATATGCATTCAAACTCCATAGTTCTTTCTTTGGATGTGGATAGTATTTTCCATCACGACGCCTTTGGAGATGTCTTAGATTCTTATTGCCTTCTATATGTTATATTCTTATATAAGTTTATCAGTATTAGTCATCATACAACATGGCTGTTACTGTGTACAATGTTCTCTTGGTTCCGCTCACTTCACTCAGCATCAGACCATACAAGCCATACAAGTCTTTCCAGGTTTTTCTGAAGTCAGCCTGCTCATCACTTCTTATGGCACAATAGTATTTCATTACATTCATATACCACAACTTGTTCAGCCATTCCTCTATTGATGGGCATCCTTTCAATTTCCAATTCTTTGGATGTGGATTGAATCTTGAAGGAA